AAAGAATGTGGGCTGCATATTTATGTGCATGCATCTCCTGGCCCAGCAGTGGACTCGGTGCTCTGATCGTCCATGACTGTATTTGGGAAAGGCTCAGGCAGTTCCCCACAATGCACAGAGTTTGGCCTCTCGTTGGTAAATTATGCTTTTAATACTGTTGGATACACTTAGGAATTTTGGGGGGAACGATGCTCCATAACCATGACTGTTATTAAGAAATGACTAAGATTAAGAACATGTTGTAAAGTTGGATTATTCTCATGTTTCTCAGCTCTTTGCATACAGTATAATGCAAAATGATCTGAGTTGTCATCTCGTAGAAAAATCTATCATAATATTTTGATTCAAATCATAAGCAAGCTTAGCCAAGAATAACATACATAAAGTCGCATGGTATATGATATTTTTAAAATCCAGTTGCCCAGTGCTTTGCTTATTAAAGATGACATACTTAAATCTTGTTTCAATCAAAGACTATCCCTTTAAACAGAAATCTGAGTGACCGACTCCCTCTTCGTTGCAAAGTACAATTAGAAAACTGTGGTTCTCTTGCACACAGAGTGGCTCTGCTCTCACATGTTTCTGCAAGAACCTTTACGTGTGTCAGAAAAGTCCCAAAGCTCGTGCTTTTTTCACAAAATAGTAATGGTTACTGACAACAATCACCCCCAACGTTATGTTTCACACCCATGGTACATGTCATCCAGTCTGCAATGCAACTGAGATTCCCGTTGTCTCAGCCAAGAGGTTTAAGACTCCCAGCCAACTAAGTAAATTCCTTATGCGTTTCTGACAGACAAAAAATAATAGGCGAGGAAATGGTAAGGTTTCCAGTTAGATCTCTCTGGTTGCCACTTACCGCATTGAGAAAGACGACAGAAAACTTAAGGATTCCTCTCGGAAGAATATTTGCAAGTCAGACAATGCTTTCTCTGTTTTCTTTCTGCTCCGCTTCTCCTTGCTCTAGTCTCTTGCTCTCCTTCTGTATGCCTGTTTTCTTGCCTTTCTCTCTTTCTCAACTATTTAGGTATGTTATATAGAATTGTGATATTATATACTAATAAATACAAAACACCCTTCGTTCATATGTATCTGTACGGACAAATGCACGGTTTGTGTATTTTGTTCTAAAACTACCGCATTTCTTTCTAGGCACAAGCATTAGATACTTAAGATGAGCAAAAAGAGCACAGGAAGGTGAGAGAGAGAAAAGTGAAGGGAACGGGTGGAAAAGAGAGGAGAAAGAGAGAATGAGCAAGAGAGGGCTGTTACCATGACGTTTCAGAAGCAGGAGCGTAGTGATACAGTTAGAAAGAGAGGAAGGAACCCAAAGGACCGTACCCTGATCTATAGTTGGGGTAGCAGAGGGAGGATGCCGAGTGTCGCTTCTCATGTCACTCCCCCTGGGGCTGCTCCTTAGCCGTAACCTTTAGCCAGAAGCCGAGGGTGCTGCCAGCCTGCTTGGGTGCCAATTGGACATCCCTATACTGTAGTCCCACTTCCCTGCCCTTGGCAGTGGTCTCTCAAGTGGCCAAAAAGACGCCCCCAGGCACACCTCCATGGTCTGGCTGATTTCCCTGCACAAGAGAGAGCCGCTGACCTGCCGCTTCATCCAGCCCCTGCGTGGTATAGTGGTGGGGGAGGGATAATTACCCAAGATAGTCCTGGTTCAGCTCTGTAAGAGGATTCTTGCTGTCCCGCTGGATGTTTCTCTCACAACTAAAGAAAACCGAAATGAATCTGCTTTTCTACAGGGTCAAAAAGAAGAAAGATGACTTCCCGACAAAAAAAAATTTATATCCCAATGAGGTCACAATTTTATAGTGCGTACCTATATTTTCATTGTTCCGATTCACTGACATGATCCCAGCCCCAGCAGGAGGTTAGTTCATGATTCAAGGAAAAAGGAGTTTTAACATTCATTTTAATGGGAACCTTTATTCATTTTTAGTATCAGCACTGTTACACCAGCTTCACTTAATTATGGGAGAAGAAGCAGGTTTAGAATTCCCTGGAGGAACTTGCTGGTTTTTCTTCTCGGACTCACTCTCTT